CATAGATTACATATTTCGTTATTTTGTTTTTTTACTAAGTCGTAATGGGGCGGCAAAAAAAAATTGTTTAGGGACGGCAATTGTGTAAATCCGTCTCTGATATGTACCAGCACTAAACGTGTAATCATTTTTATATAAGTTTACTTATATTAATAATTAATATCATAATATTTAACACATGTTTTGGTACCCACTGAACGATTTTTCGTAAGTTTTTTTTGTCRTGATTTCTACTTAATATTTATATTTGTTAACAAAAACATATTTATTTATTTTCCTTTTACAAAAAAAAAAATAATAATCGATCAATTCGTCCCATATAGTTACTAAAAGTTAAATTAAACTAATGAAAGTTATATTGTAAGTAATACATTTTCTAATATTTTAAAATGTTTAGTTTTTACTGACATTTTATCTTTCATAAAAAGAATTGAAATTTAAATGAAATATAAAATAGCGATTTAAATTTAGTAATTCAAAATACCTGGATCCAATCGTCCTATCTTAATTGATGGGGACTGGTTTTTTGTATGGGAACGAAATACGTTCACGATTCGTAAGTGTGCCACTTGCAGGCTGCAGCTGCTTGATTTCCAATCTCAGATATTCGTTCAGCAGAAATTTATAATATAGTTCAAGTGCAATATAATAGAATGGAATTCATCTATCTTTTGGTAATATTTCATTTAGGTGCCATTGATCATCACCACCCACATTCCAGTATCTGTAATGACAGTAGTCGGCTGATAATGGAGATGGATTGGAATTTATGGAAAGCATAATCGTGTTGGTTCTATGTTTTATTAGCATAAATTAAAATAGTATAAGATTAMTAACTAATATAGTTCACAGTTCACGTACATAGATAATTATTTTGTAGTTCGTGGATCTTATACATCATATTATAAATCTTATAGGTGACTATTCATAGTTCATAAATCATAACTGACTTATCGTTCGGAGCTATATCCAATAAAGTTGAGCCAGATTTTTAATTTCGCGTTTAATGTATATACAAACACTGCACTAAAACGCATCSGAATCATCCTATAACAAACCTATAATACCTACTTACCATAGGTAACTCATTMGACTAATCACTTATAAGAATTAATGTTAATAAATAATAAAATATACAGACAGATAAACGATAAACAATTTCACAATTGTAGGTATTTTAGTATTTACAATAATTTTGGTGTTTTACTTTAAAGCCATGCCCCGGTCTCAATTTGCCTTGTACTTTGTACTCTTTGTAGCGCTTTATCTATAGCGGTGGAGAACGGAGAACTGTGTACTAAAAAAAAAAAATCAAAGAAAGGGAACCTGTTTGCTACCACCACTGGCACCACTTCCATAACACTACCACACAACAGGTTGTCTTAAGAATTTTTAGTAAACACGAAACAGGTTGCTATCACTTTTTAGTTATTTTTCCTTGTACTAATAATATTGCCGACTGGCGACTATATTGTCGAGTTTATTTACCTACTTATCGTTCATTGTTAGTGTCGTGTTGGTGTTTTTCTTTAAAATGATAAACTTTCGCTATTTGCGTATTGAACATCATTAAACATAATATTACACTTCAATTTATGTGATCGAAAATACTCGTTTATGTTCGACCGACATTGTTTTGTCTAGTGTATGTATCTCACAGGTACTTATTTACCTTATGATTGTATCCAACTATTCACATTGCAAAAAAAAATATACCACTTTCTAATGGTTTCTCTTTTCAAAATTATTTTAAGAAGATTCATCATAATTGTTATTACCTATTTTTGTTTTAGACCTAACCAGTGTGGATTGTTTCACATGATCGCAAAATTATTTATGTAGTCTAACATGTCCATTCGTGTATAGATGTTTTATAATGTCTTGTGTTAGTGGACTCCCAAAAAATTACAATGGCCAAAACACTGCAATCAGCCAGAAACCAAATGTGGTAATACCACCAAAGTATCAACCACCACCAAGTCCTAATCGCCAATATAATGTACAACTAAGCAATTATCCTCCAACTAATATTGACAGGTAAAAATAAATAATTAAATTATATTTATTGAAAATATAATGATTAAAGTCCTAAAATTGATATTAATGATTGCAGAAGGCAACAAGGTGAAAAGCCATATGCTAATACTACCGAAAATCATAGATATAGAACTTTGCCAGGAGAGCAACCATCGGATATGCTGAAGTTTGTACGAAAAATAGATTCGGACAATTCAAATAAAATATCTCCAGATCAGGTTTTTTGTTTTGTTTTGTTTTCATCATTCCTATGAAATATAATTTTTTAATTTCTAAACTAAACTATTTAAGGTGGGGCAGTTGATGTCAGAAATCAATAGTTTGAAAGAAGTTAATCAAAGACTGAATGATGAAAATCAAGAGCTACGAGATTTATGTTGCTTTTTGGATGATGATAGACAAAAAGGACGAAAACTAGCAAGAGAATGGCAGCGATTTGGAAGATATACAGCTTCTGTTATGAGACAAGAAGTTGCTGCATATCAAGTGAAATTAAGACATCTAGAAGCCAAACAGCAGCATCTAATTGAGGACAACATTGAACTTAAGGTTTTTTTATATTATAAGCTACCTATTTGCTGTGTATCATAAATTAATTTATAATTTTGTGTACTAGGAATTATGTTTATACTTGGATGAAGAACGAAGTGGGCCAAACAGATCAAGGGATAACT